ACTGTCTTGGAAGGCTTCGGACTCGGTTTCACTATCGACACTTATTTATACTGCTCATATTTCATATTAAAACTTTTTTTGGGAGTAATACTTAAATAACTTAACGCACAAGGTTAGGTACGAAATAATACCCCAAAACCCATAAATCGAACTTAACCTTACTTATTCTTATTCAACTTTTATTTGGTTATGGCTCCTGTTTCGTCAGATTTTTCCGTTAAGATTTTTTTTTGCGAAAATTAGCATCGTTGTTCATTTTTCCGTATTACATTTTGTATACGACGCTTTCTATGAAATAAAATACAGAAATATTATAACCTTTTTGTTAGATTGTAAAATAATTCAAGACAAGAAATTTCAAGAGTCTTGCAAGATAAGACAAGACTTTGCCATTCAAGAAATCTGCAAGACAAGACTGAAAATTTCTTGTCTTGAATTTCAAGACAAGACAAGAAATTGATTTTCAAGACAATTCTTGTCTTGTGCAACACTAATCTCCTTCATATACGTGTCTTAACAATGTGCAGTTTCTCGGTCGGCTGGTTGACCGCGACGAATGTGCTATATCCCCTGACACGTCTCTTAGCAATGTGCACAGTCTTGTCTTTTTTTGTCAATTTCTTGTCTTGAATTTCAAGACAAGACAAGAAATTGAGAGATTTTCAAGACAAGAATTCTTGTCTTGTGCAACACTAATCTCCTTCCTATACGTGTCTTAACAATGTGCAGTTTCTCGGCCGGCTGGTTGAACGCGACGAATATGCTATATCCCCTTAAACGTCTCTTAGCAATGTGCACAGTTCCTCGATTTATTTCATACGTTTGGCAACATTTTAAAAACCATTGGTAAATTTGGGGCAATTTTTTAAATACCATTAACGACATTTTATATTTAAAAAATTAATAAGCTAGTTTCTTAAAGTATTATGAATAGAAATACAGCATCTGGTATATAATGTTTTTCGGAAAAAAAATCCGCTGTATGTTAGGTATCTCTCGTTTCTTTTTTAAAACATAAGCATCAGGTGAATTAATTTTGTAATTATTATCTAATTTTATCCTAGACTCTACGTTAATGAAAATATCGATTTTCCGCTTCAATAATGTTTTGCTTGAAATAAAGTACTTTTAAAGGTATGTTGGAAAATCTATGGCTGGCCTATTGGAAAACTTTAATTAAATTTCATAAACACAGCGCTAATTATTTTAATTTGTTATCTAATCAGCTCGAATAACAAACCGATTATATTGTTAACATTTTTTCACCTATTTAGTTAAGAATAATTAATAAATTCAACATATTCATTGAACTGATACGAGAGAAATTTAAATAAGTTAATTTAAATAAAATAAGGTGACAAGAATATTAAAATTCTCTACACTATATTATATAAACCTCGCTTCATATATTAAATAATAGAAAAGTTAAAGATCCTAACATTTGGAGGTGTCTAAATATCTGCTGGGGGTTCACCAGACCGAATATTGTAAGTTGAATAGGCATTTAAAGCTAATGGGATTAACGGACCAAACCATGCGCAGGTTCTGCCAATTTGAAAAAGAAATGACAGAACACATTTTATGTAGGTATAAAAGCCTGACAAATGGACGGTTCTCGGTGATAGGCAATGATAGACCACTGCCAGAGAGCTATATGGAGGGATCAGTCTTCAAATTCCTAGACTTTTTGAAAAGGCTAGACACAATTTGAAAAGACAAGACACAATAGATCTGAAGTAGGCGCAGGCTGATCGACTAAACCACCTCCACGAATCTAAACTAATGACCAGAATGAAATAAACATCTATCTGACGACCGGTTTTGGTGATTTAACTCCACCATCAGACCATTAGTCCTCTTTTGGTGGATATTTACATTTCAGAGACTCCACGTAGAAATAGCATTCATTGATGAATAAAAAAAAGGACTTCTAAATGACGAGATCTCGATGTTCTCGCCAAATCTGGCGACAAACACACTGCGAGTATCGTCCAGCTAGAATGTAGAATGTATGTAGAATGTTTAGGAGGGGAGTTAATCACCGCGACCTTATAGATCTATTGTGTGTTCCCCTTTCTTGAATTATAACGAGTTATAACTCATCATACAGTCTCAGGGCGTTAAGAAAAGCCAGTATCTGAGACGGCTCGACAGAGGCCAGCTCTCCATCCTCGACATCAGACGTACCAAGGTTCATGGCACGAATGGTCGTCGTCTCGGTGCACTCAGTGATAAGGTGTTCTGGTGTTTCCCCATTTTCCCCACAAAATCTGCATTCGCCGTTGTTTCTCAGTTTCAGCCTACTGAGGTGTTCGTTGAGGAGACAGTGTTCTGTTAGAAACCCCGTGACAATCCGAAGATTGTTTTTACTTAAATCAAGGAAAACCTTTGATTTTTCTCGGTCATAAGTTCTAAGGAACTTTTTCGAGTGTCTTAGACCGTTGGAGGACACCCATTCCAAGTTACGGATGGAGTCTTCCAGATTCTTCAGTTCCGCTTTCAGTTGGTTCCCGTTTGGAAAACAGAACGGTTCTGGTCCAGTTAGTGGAGTGTTCGCTCCTTTTCTAGCTAGATCATTTGCTTTTTCATCCCTTGGTGAGCAGGCACCCAGAGTAGGAGAACTTTATTTTCTTTGGCTAATTTGTTGAGCTTCTCCAGGCATTCTTTGACCAACTTCGAATTGATGGTTACTGAGTTGATCGCGTTAAGTGCTGCTTGACTATCGGATAGGATGGCAATTTCCTGTTTTCGATAGTTCCTATCTAAGATAAATTGTACGCATCTTTCGATAGCGCAAATTTCTGCCTGAAGGATACTGGGGTAGGTGCCCATTGGTTCGGAGTATTCAGTTTTCGGCCCAAATACTCCTATCCCTGTCCCGCTACTGTACTTTCTGTCCATTTGGTTTTCAGATGGCTCAAAAACGTCATAAGGCGTTGAAGCTGGAATGGGAGGGCTGCTATGGAAGTCACTATTTTCCAGGCAGAAAAAACGGCAATCCATTATTCTTCTTTATGTGCCCTGTCCTCGAAGAACGTTGGCTATCATCAATGACACTTGAATTTTGTTCACGGCTCTTCTAAACAGCGTGTTGGTATTTACTCCGTACCATTCCCGCACGCTCTTGAGCCGAAACGTCCTTCTTCCAGCTGAGCGCCTCCCTTCTATTTTGCCTTGCATGATGTTCTGCAATAGCTGGTACTTTACCTGTCTCATAAGATGTCCAAAGTATTCCAGTTTTCTGGTCTTGTGTTTTTTATAATATATAATGATCTTATGTTTTTTATAACCACAGTACTCGTATTTGGCATCTCCAATACTCTGATATTACTTATTTTGTCCACCCATGATATTCTTCTCCTGTAACACCACATTTCGAAGGCTTCTATTTTTTCATCTCGCTCTTATTCAACGTTCAAGACTCTATTCCATAAAGCAAGGTCGAAAATACATAACACTTTAATAACCGTAGTCTCAGAGGCAGTTGTACGTTCCTTAATGAAAAAAATCCTTTATTGTCACAAAATTTTACAATTTGTAGACAAAGGTAAAGTACAGCTGGTTCCAATAAAATTGAATACGATTTAAAACATATTTTTATTATTTCGGGCAGTATATTCTATGATACCAGTCCCCCATTTCTCTACTCATGTCATACTGACGTTCTGACACAATGACCTCAATGTCACAATAACCTTAACATGTCAAAATACTTGACACATAAATCGTATTCATTTTTTTTGGAACCAGCTGTACATAAAATACAAACAAAGTAATAAAGTAACAAAACAAGTAAACAAATAAAAGAGAATACAAAACAAGTACACAAATTACATTGTCAGTCTTATTGTTTAAAATAAACATTTATAAATGTCAAAGTCAACAGTTACAGATGTCAAAGAATAAGAAAATAAAAATAGGATTCAAAAATATTTAGTAAGTTTATAGTAAATATAGTAATATCAAATATTAGACCAGTGTTTACAAGATCAAATTCGATTATCAAAATATAAGTCATTTACGGCGTAGAAAGCCTTGTCTAGTAAATAAGACTTTAATGCTTTGCGAAATGAAGAAAATGATGTTAAGGATTCTATTTCAAATGGCAGGTGATTGTGCATTTTTTTCGAGTTGTATAATATTGAACTTTTAACTAACTCTGAGCGTGGGGTAGGTAGATAAAGATCTTGCTCCACGTTCCTGAGTGGATAAGTGTGAGGTGGCCTTTCTTGAGAAGCTGATACATGCTTACGTGTTAGGCAAACGGATTCAAATATAAATAAGGAAGGAAGAGTTAATATTTTTAATATTTTTAAAAAATCATGGCAATGACTTCTGCTGTTTAGTCCCAGTGAATATCGAACAGCTCTCTTCTGGAGCTTGAAAATACGGTCAAATTGAGTCGCACAACACGTACCCCAGAATGGAAAGGCACACCTGAGGTACGACTCAAAAACTGCATAATAAACAGTTCTAGCCACTGACAAGTTATAAGCTCTTTTGAAATAGATCTTAATGCAAAACAGGCAGAGCTTAATTTTTTCGACAAAGCGTCGATATGCATGTCCCATTTTAGAGAATTGTCCAGCAATCATTGTGTAGATTGTGTAGAAGAAATAACAAAGTAGCAAAGTACCCTTCAGTTGCCATCTTTAAAGACCAAGCAGCACTAAAGGCACACTGTTTCACAGAGGTAAATTCTGAACTAGTGTTGGATTGTGTGTGCACTCTAAATATATTGGGTAAACGTAGCAATGTTACACTAGCCTGAGTAGGCGGGAACGATGCTAACAAAAACAGTCCAGGGCAACGAAAAGGCAGATTAAATTGCCAAACAAGGCTCATCAATGACATTCATAAGTCCAGAACTCTTCTACGGCACTGCAAAAGCAGTTAGAAGAATGACCACAAGACAGCAGATGACCAACCACTCTTTAGAATGGTGAAAAATTCGCCAGACTAACTACAATTAATTTAAAGTGAAGCAGAATTTAGCTTACCTGCCAAGTGCCCTCCGCAGCAACCTTAGTGGCGTTACTGCTAGGGTAGAGCGGCAAAGCCAGAGCGCAGAATGTCGCCAAGAAGAACAGCACCACGTAGCATACCCACAGCAGGTACGCGTCCTGCATGAACCGAGTGTGTAGAAACCCCAGCAGTAAGGCGAAGAGTATGCAATGGGCTGCGTGGTAGACGTTCTGGATGGTAGCAGTCTGCGAGTACACCTGAAAATAAAGGTTTAAGATTTAGTAGAATCCACAGAAAAAAATGTGTGAATGATATTATAGATATTTTAAAAACTTAATACCAATAGAATGATACGATGAGTAGATAAATAGTGCCAAAATTTGTTAAAAACTGTTTCAAAATTATTAATATAATTGTTTCTAAATGCGATCAGTAAATAACCTTAATACTAAAGGGCTTTCGAACTTCCATTACCTTTTTTAATTTAACTTTCACAATGTTCACACAGGTTATTAGATTGAGTATTTTGAAAATTAGCTAATCTAGCCTAACCTAATCAAAATAAAATTTTCAAAATACGGTTTTAGGTAGCCCTGAAAAAGTGGCTATGGGAATGAGCAATTAGTTTTTTTCGATTTTCTGATGATTTCGAAATTTTTGACACTTTTTTGATAGCATGTTGGCGAACATCCCAAAGCGCAACTTCAACCATATTCGTATCTATTACCAAAGTTTATAGAATAACTATTACAGTGTCCGAGATACCAATGCTCGTACTCCGAAACTGTAGCATCCTGTATACCAGAACTATATATATTCACCTGTAAGAATTACCCAGTGAGCATTTTATTCCTTTAAGGGAACGGTGTTTCGGTGACGTCGTTGTTACGTTACCAGGCCCTTCTTGTGCCTAATATGAAGCAATAAAATGCAGATACGCAACTGTTCCCTAACGTTCCCTAAATGTGACAAAACTTTGCTCACTGGGTAGGCAACACTTGATAACAGTCAGTGATACATCTGACTAAAACGACGAATAAAGACACTAAAACTTCGACATACTTTTAGAATCAATATAATGAATCCTTCAGTAATCAATACTAAATAACCCTCTTAAAAATAAGAAAATGACTGATTTTGTAATGTTGGTTAGTGAATTTGATCATATACGGTTAGTTGTTATATCCAGAACATGTTATTTTTTGAAAAAGTAACAAATAATAGAGGTTTTCGATTATGGCAAATAATAATATAATAAACTGCATCACACCTGTCTATTTTCCAAATATTGAAAAAAAAAATGGAAAATATTTAGTAGGTTTTACTTTGCTACGATTATATTGAGTACTCCTAATAGGTAATGGAACTATATCCCAAGAATTTCTTTATAATGACAAGTTTGAGAACAACAGAACTCCATTAAGCCCTTTGGGCATCCTTCCCTATTCCCTAGGAAACGTAAAACTACAGTCGTCATCCAGTATTAACTTGTCGGAGACAGTGATAAAGCTTACAAAGTAGAAACTGTGATTTTTTTTAGTTAGAAATATCATGATTCATTCTGAAATATGTGACAGCTTTATTATTTCATTGTTTTTACGGAAACTACATGAAACGTACAAAAAAATCCTGAGAATTTCTCATAATATTTCTTATTATTTTAATTTTATGCCAGTTTTGACGGTTATTTGGAATTACTTCCTATTTATTTGATGTATCTTATTGTAAACATACACATAAATCATCATTTGATTGTAAACGATTGTAAAGAAAAAAATTGTAATTTTTTATGTGTTGCTGTTAGTTCCCTAGCGACCGACTTTCTATAGGAAAATCATTTGCAACGATATTTTTCTTTTGTACTGGCGATTTACCTATAAATTTTATTTTCCTAAAGGTCCTGTTATTAACGACCAGAGTTACTGATATAATTATCACAATTATTTGATGCGTGATACTGTAGTTAATAACAAATAATATCAAGTTAAGTTGTTGAATATTTTATTTTCTAGACTTAATAGTAACTTTGCTTGCACTTCTTAACGCAGAAGTTTGAATTCTGGATCCAACTTTAAATACATGTTTTCCAATGGTACCTGAGAGCAGTGATGAGCGATATCGTGATTTTTTAATATCAGTAGTTTAAAAGCCTGATGTAATCACGACTTCCTGGTATATAAAAAGACAAGGGAAGTGTCCCAATCTAAGCAGGAACCAGATTAGATTAGATTTTCTTCGAGATGGTTATCGGCCTGATCCACTGCAACCTTTCCAGATCTATTGTGGTCCTCTTCTGATCCTTAGGTAATATTCTAAAGTACTTTTCTGACAATGGCCTGTCATTGCCTATTTCCGAGAATCGCACATTTGCCAGGCTGTCGCACCGACATAAAATGTGTTCTATCGTTTCTTCTTCAGATAGGCAGAACCTGCACAGGGCTTCAACCGTCAATTCCGTTAACTTTAGATACCTATTCAGCTTGAAATGCCCTGTTAGTAGAACCTAGCATTAAGGAGCTAGTCATGAGCTGCTCATGAACTCTTTGTTTCAGTCTGTACCCGCCATTAGTTAATCGAATCTGTTGATGATGTTGAAACCTACTTAAGAGTTTCAAAACCACTCAAATATATCCTGGTTGTTATTTTAGCAAAATATTAAGTTATATTTCCTTATGCTCCTATAATATACTATTTTTTTTTCATAATGCTTAAAGATAATAAATTAATCAATTATAAATTTCTGGTGAAAAAAAGTCGAACAAAAGCGAAAAATCGGATAAAAGAGCGTTGTTTTCAATTTGGTTTTTGTTTTTCGGATGCAGCGTGCGCTTGTTTTGTTCTATTTTCCATAGTTTGCTGGATCAATTCCGGCGTCAACGGTCTCGTACACAAACACGTCGAAAAAGGGCCGGATTGTAAGCTCTCGAAATTTAATTAGGAAACTAGTTGAACAACGGAGCCGAACATTAAATGCTGATTTTATTTCGCTTTCCTTCCAGTATTTTCTTGCTTAGAGAATCAATTACGAGATTTGCTAGTGATTTAATATGCCACGTTTATTGGATAATAAAAGCTTGATTTTGGGTTTTCCTTGTCTTAATTGTTAAGAGTGCTTTAATTTTCATTGATAAGGCTTTTTCGGTCTTGCAGTCAGGTTTATAAGTTGCTCCACCCTCTCCAATCGTTCCTCATAGTTAAGGGTCGTGACTTCTATGAGAATAATTTTTGTTTAAAAAGACCTTTCCAGGCTACTTTGTTTTCAGCTCGATGGATGCTGAGTATGGGTAGACCTTTTGTTTATCTGACTTGGTCGATCCATCTTGTTGGGGACCGACCTCTACATCTTGTTCCTTGGGCATCACCAGTTATAATAATTTAATCATCAAAGTACCCGAGGATGCGTTTCAGACACATAGCCGACAGTCGGGTGCTTATGTTAAGCTCATTTATTATTGACAGATTGGTTCTTCAAGATGTCCAAGATATTCTCAGCATACGTCCGTACCACCACATTTCAAAACTGTCTATCATGCGCATTTTCGATGATTTGATGATTCGATGATTCCACACCATAAAGAAATATTCAAATTCAGCAAATTCTTTTTTGTATTAGTTGTTATTATTCGGCTCTGCCATATTCTTGTAAGGCGCGTTGCGGCAGTTTTTGCTAACTGTATTCTGCGTCTAATTTCTATTTTACAACTGCCATCGCCATCCAAGTAAATAACCAACCAAGTTGTAACCAACAAAGCAAATGACAGCTGGTACACTAAATTCTCTGCACTTTTCTATCAGTTGTCGCACATTGGTTATTCGTTCACGGGTACCTGTACCTTTGACAAATCCTGCTTGGTGTTTAGGTATTTGGGATTCGAGGTAATATTTCAAACGTGAGTGTTCTATAGTTCTTACACTTTTTGGTTGAATTTTTCTTATGTAGATCTTATGAGAACTGAAGTTGTCCATTCTTTGGGCCATTTACATGTGCTCCAGATATTGTTGCAGATGTTACAGATTTTTGTGATTGCCTCATTACCTATATTTTTCAAAAGTTCGCTAGTTATTTCATCTGAGCCTGGAGTCTTATGGTTTCTAAGTTTGCGGATAGCTTTTATGATTTCACTGTTCATGTTTCAAAGTTTTGAAGTTGCTTCACAATGACATGAAATTTTACAAATGGGGTTGCGCTGGTCTTTAGTATTAACAGGTTTTATTAATGTCGCTTAAAATACTTCCTAAAGTTGTCGAAACAATCAAAGCTGTTTTAATTCGTACTTCCTAAAGTTGGTTAAATTCGCAGAATTAATAACCCATTTAAGTAAAGTATGTTGACTTGAACACAAATTTCTGTAGTTTACAAAAATGCTACTGTGGATCTTCAACCTGTGGTCTTCTTGTTACATCGAGAGGATTTTTACAGAATTATGGCTAAATAAAAATTATAAATAACAATTAAAATTTTGTACTTATGAATTGTACCTTTTTGTACAGTGCGTAACAACATTGGTTTAAGGACCTTAGAAGCTCTTAAAATTCTTAGTAAAAAATTCAGCCTCGTGTTTAAAAAAAGAATATTGATGATGGCAGCTCAAAGACCAAACGTTCGAAAATCTGATAACATCAACTTGTAGAAAAAAAAGTAGCAATGAGAATATGAAATTAATTTTGTTATATTTAATCAAATAGTCATAGAAAATTAAAGATGAAATCCCGAATATTCGTTTTTTTTCTCAGACGTATTCGGAATTTTCAGACGTATTCAGAATGTTTAAACTTTTAAGGTGGCATTATGATCAGCATCAAATTGAGCAATTTACTTCCATTTAAAGAGACCTCGTATCTCTTTTAGTTTCCGAGATCCTAATGATGATCGAGCCTCATTTGGAACACCCTGTACATATTTTAAAGGTCTAAACAAAATCTCTAGCATCTGAAAAATAGTTTTTAAGATAACTATTTCTGACTCGTTAAAAAAAATCACTGACTTATTTTCAAGCAGTATACTTCTTCCGTATTTCTTATAGTATTACTTCCTTTGTATCTGAAATTTAAAAGTGTTGAAAATAGTGAAGAAAAGTGTTAAACCACATAAATTCTACAACGAATATGATCTTATAACAATAGACATTGTATAGCCAATGTTTATATCTACCATCCTTATTTACAATTTCAAAAGCGAGTAAGCCATTACGGCAAAATGGCAATTTGAAACTTCAACTCGAGGGGAAATACCGAGAATATCCATTGTTACGGCCAT